ATATTATTTCCCGCTCGACTCTAGGGGATGGAAATCATTATAATCTCGGTAAATTCGTTTTTCGACGCTATGGATATGAAAAGATGTATTCTGTCTAAGTCACTGTATTTCTATTGTTATAAAAAATATACACTTACTTACCTACATAAAAAATGAGACTAAAGATTTATCTTTATGTGATTTATATTATTAAAACTTAAATTTCTTTGAAATCGCTGATTTTAAAATCAGCTTGAAAGTTTTTTTCCGAAATTGTCATAGTGTTCTATATAATGGAAAAAAACATATTAGAGTGTTCCGTGTATAATAAAAAAAATATTTACATAAATAAAAATTTAAACCTAATCGCTTCATCTAACTTTATCTATGATGAAATCTTATATTATTTTTCTTCTTTTTCTTGATAATAATCTGTTCAATAAAAGCGTAACTAATATAACTTTATGTCCTTATCACAGTCCAGTAATTATGAACTGTATTTGTTATTTCATATCGCTTTTTCCACTTTACAAACGTCTTAGACTTATTTATAGCTGTTTCTAACGATATTTTCTCCTTTTGAATATGTGTAAAGAAAAACGGCCTCGAATCTTTCGTGTATGTGACACTCATTGTTAAATTATTCTCTAGTAACATCGGACAATAATTATATAAGATTTCCTGCGTCATAGGGGAAGAACCCTTATATCTGCTTGTTCCAAAAATTTTTAATGTAGTGATTCCCAAATAAAAGTTTGCTCAGTCATGCTCTTATATTAGACAGACTATGTTGTAAAATTGATAGAAAGTATGCCTCAAAAAGATGTAATATATCGACAATAATTAACAATGGCAATAATTTTTTGGACGACTTATATTATTAATACAAAAGGGTTATAGTATTAATTGTGTATATATGTAATTTTTTCATTTTTTTACAATAAATAATCTAAAAGTGTCGGTCATGCTTTTATCGAACAGATGGTATGAAGAAAAACTATTTGTTCAGAAAATATTTGTTAAATATGAACAAAAAAGACGATTAAGTTTAATTACAGTTTTTTCAGCATATTAACATCTTTGAAATATGATGCCTGATTCAGCATCGAAATTATTAGAATTAAATTTAATTCGCGAAATTACTACAGTGGTTTAATTGTGTCTAGTGCGAAAATATTTCGATGCACAGTTCGTTAGACTACAATTGTGGTATGTATGTCAAGTACATATATATCATATTTAGTGATTCAAGATTGAATTATTTAAGCATTTTAAGATCTAGCTTCGACCAGATAAGGCTCTAATTTATCGGTTGTGTCTCTCACATATACGATCTAAAATTATTATTAAAAAAGACGATTAGTTTCGTCAGAAACTTTCAAAAATTTTTAGATCCACACTTGGCGAGTTTTATCTGATATAATTTTTTAAAAAACGTTAATGATAGCATTCAAAAACGCTCATGTTACTTGAAAAATCTTTTCGGGAGCTCACTTGCTTGTTTCATGGACTTAGAATTACATATAGAGTAAAAAGTCGTCGTAGCACGTTTTACAACCATAGACAAGTCTACATAAAACCCTGTGACTACGTGTCGTGTCGGCAAAAGATGTGGAAAGATAAAGGAAAACTGTCCTAGTCCCCAAAAGGAAAGAAGGTGCTCGAGTTACTTTAGCGGCTAGACGAAGTTCCCGGTAAAACATCTTGAGAGTATTTTGAGAACTTCGCTGTGAAATATTCTACGCGAAAGAGAGGAAAGTCTGCCGGGTGAATTTAGATCACTGCCTTACGCGGAACAGATGCATTTTAACGCTAAAGTTTCGTTTGATTCGCACTTTATAAGCGCGCGATTTAACGCACATGTTTTGTTTGATAAGTGATGCGCGTTTCGTCATGAGCAACGAGTATACGCACTTTTTATTCGCGAAGAAAATTTATATTCATTAGTTTATTTCAATGTGTAACGTTGCTGCGTAATTATATTGATGGGACTAGATAATATTAAAATTCTTCTTATCGGATGGATAATTGGATGGCTTTATGGTATAATGAATAATGTACAGAATTTGTAACGTCGCATTATTGTTATAAGTAAAGAAAAAAATATCGATTATCTTTCACGTTGAAATGAATCATTAAGTTACAAAGCCGAGTAGAAAAGCAACCCTATAAAGAGCGAATCGCCAACTAAATAACCTGGAAGTTTTTTACATTTCAAGAATTTTCTATTTTTGCTGCCAACAAAAAATATAATAGCTATTGTGTAATGTTTCGAAGAACATGTATTAATCATTTATAATACGTGTCATTAGCAGATAATTGAAATATACGATTTAACTGCTATTTCGATTTAACTGCTATCATCGATTCATTTTGCACTGACACATCTCGCGTTTTAATTTTATCATGGTACTGGTACACGATCGACGCAAGAAACATATATCGCGAATTGTGATTTCAATCCGGGAATGGAGATCACTTTGCGCTAAGCCGATCGCGGGCGTCGCCATTTCGCATCAAAGTGAAAATATTGGGGTAAAGAGTGGCGCATGAACACGCTCGTAAGGACGAGGCGGACACAGATAAGCCCTGAGCCTCGAGCTACGTGCCTCGCAGACGAACGGCAGGCGGACAGGCGGCTGGGAAAAAAGAGGGATGGATGTTTCGCGATGGTTCTCGAGTTACTGCGCAAAGGGAAGGACAGGGAGCTTGGGGGTGGGAAAAGTTCCGCCTAACGTCTTGGAAGTGTCTCAAAAAGAGAACTCCGACGTCGGTCGGGACCCGGGCTCTAAGTGTATCACATAGTAAATTTAGTTTTCCAACCTCCGTTTCCACCGTTCCACTCTTATATTCTCCCGTTCCTCCTTATATTCCTTCCTTCCTCGCTCCCTTTTCACGTCCACCCCTTTCCTACGTTTCGTGGACAAGTATTGGGAGTCGAGCTCGAATCGAGCTGTGGTGCCGATGCAGTCAGGACGGGGTTCCTTGCTCCAAGCCTTTTCTAGGGAGGGAATCAGGGATGTTCGCGCGCGCGCGCATGTCGTGGTAGCCAACATGGCGCGGTATAGTATAGACTCTGGACCCGTTCGAGCGAATCTGGCCGATCAAACGGGGGCTAAGAGCCACGCTTTCGTCCGGGTTAACTCAATCCACGAGCTTTCTATCTTCCCGATCTCCTCCTCTCTCTCCGTCACTTCCCTTCCGGCGCTATGTTATTTCTGGCTGCATTCCCCCCTCTGATTCCACCTCCTGCCAGGGTGCTTCTCCCGCGCCATGCACGACCGTTCCAATCGATGAGCTCGCGACAACGGGCCTTTAGATACTTTTAGAAGTCTGTGCGGGCTTTTATTCCCCCAGGAGGTTAAGTCTCGATGGTTTTCTGATCGGGACTTCTCGGGAGGTTGCTCGATTTACTCGCGACAAGACACGTCCCCCACTGCGGGATAATTCGAGGAGGGTTGAGTAATTTATCTGACAAAGCGCAAAGGGTTTTCCTACGTTAAAAAAGTTGCTCTAAAAATTTACATCACGATTGGAAGTCATGACTTTTACAGAAATCAATCACAAATAATATTTGTAGAAACTGGTAGAAACTGCACGGAAAGAATGATTTTGCTGAAAAATTTAGATACAAATCTAAGTAATTTTATTAGATCATTAAAATAATTATGTATAAGAAATTCAAGCAATGATGCAAAACATTTTGACATTCTAGCAATTAGCTTGAGTGGTGTGTTCTGCATAACTATTTTTTGATTCAATAAACTATAATATTTTTATCGCAACACTAAATTTTTAGATACTTCAGCAAAACCGTTTTTTCCGTGTGCATCTCTTCCTGTTTTTGTGTTCTTTTGAAACAATATAATAAGAAAGGCAGAGCATACTCTGCCTTTCTTATTATATTGTTAATACTTGGTCTTTTATCAAAATTTTTTAACTTTAATTCAAGCAACAAATAACATCTCTACAGCACAAAAGTTGCAGCAACAATGCTGCAACATTGCAGCAATATTACAGCGTTATTGCTACAAGTTCGGTGCTGTATGAGATATATATTTATTATTCCAATTAAGTATAATAATCTTTAAATCACAAATTTCTCATCTCGTTTTTTTCTATTATTATTCGTCATCATATTTACTTTTCTATAATAATTACTCTCGATTCCCTAGTCTGTTAAAATGGCAAATCACCTGTTCCTTACCAGACTGTTCTTCTGCGACAGAGACAAGAAAAACGTAATGAGTTTCGAGGGGGATGAAATAAACACGGGAATGTGTGTCGCGTGTGAGTGTGACTCGTATCGGGTATAATCGGTTTCCTCGGGGAATCCTACCCTCTCTTTCCTCTATCTCTCTCCGGATACGGCGACGTATCGGGGGGATAATTTGCGGCGTCTCGAGTCTCGACGCGGCTGCGTGGTCCAATCCGCGATACCAGCCAATCGGCTCTCGGCTGCGCGGAGAGTCGAACTGAGAACAAAAGGATCCCACTCTCTTTCTCTCTCTCTCTCTCTCTCTCGCTTTCTGTTTCATCGATAGAGAGGCGGTTGCAATCGCCATGCAAGCAACGACAAAAAAGACTACCGCGTATAATCCACGCGCGCGGCATCGATTCCACCCTCCACGAAAACAAAAGCTTGGCACTCCGACACTTCGCAATTCCTGATAGATTGGCGATTCTTTACAGGAATCTTTTTGGCAAAATAGTTATACGAATATCGTGAAATACACGTATAGCATTTTCAAAAGTATAAATCTCGGATAAGCCATTTTGGTTAAAATAAAGTTCCTTGAAACTAAATAACAAATGAATTTTATATAATTTGTGTTATATAATTTCCAATAATAATAATTACACGTTATTCGTTAAGCGTTCAAATAACTTTTATGAGCACATGCTCACACACAATCCAGAATTATTACTCTTCTCTTTAGAGATAACTTTATAGCTAAGTTATACGACTAGACGGAAGGAAAGCAAAGAGACGTTCAATATCAATAGTTTTGCAATTTCAGGTGGCAAAGAGGATGATCCTAAAAGCTCGTCCTCGAGTTCCTTGGGTTCCGCGCAAAGTAAGAAGCAGCGTAAAGCGCGTACAGCTTTCACGGATCACCAGCTTCAGACCCTTGAGAAAAGTTTCGAGCGGCAAAAATACCTCAGCGTGCAGGACAGGATGGAGCTGGCGGCAAAACTGCAGCTGACGGACACGCAAGTGAAAACGTGGTATCAAAACAGAAGGTAAGCGAAACGAAAAACGCGTTACTAATTCCTAAATGAGACACAACGCGACATATGCGGACGATAATTAATTTTATGGTAGCCATCAGGATGCAAACAATCGCTAGTTTTTTTTACATATAAAAACTTATTCGGAACTGGCCCATGAAAATGAATTAAATCTATCAATGATACCGATTAGCATTTTAACATTACATATAATATTACTAACAGAAGCAAGTTCTGGAAATTCTTATTGTATATATAATCATATTTAATTACAACCATTTGTTATTAAATATAAAAACGACAGCTTCTTTTTCTTTGAAGCAATCAAAAAATTAAAAATAATTTTCTTAAACATTATATACCGTTCGATATATATACTTTTTCGATCAAGTTTCTTATTAAGATACTAAGAAAATTTTTATTGAAAGGTAATTACTAGAAGTATTAGCCTTTTTAGCGAGCGCGATTGGACTACGTGATGAGCCTGCACGTATAAAAAACCGTTGAATAGCCGTTAAAAGTTTGACTCTAAAGAGATAAAGATGGAACCATGACGATCGATAGACCTTTCGATGCTCGCGTTATACATTGTTGAATGTTGAATATCGGATAGAAAGGTCCTCATCACGATCCTCCGATCTCGGAAGCATAGCGGCATGGTTCTTTGTACCGGCGCGTGTCGAATCCGTAAATGGAAATCGCGGCGGCCAACAAAGGCGTTGTTTACGTGGTTAAACGCGAGGATCGTTGATCAGAATCTGAGCAAAGTATCTCGAAAGTCATGCGCCTCCGTTACCGGTTTTGCGGCCCATCCTAAGCATATTCGTCAACACTTTAATTCTTCAACCATTTAATAGAAATATATGTAATATATTGAACTGAAATATAGTATTGTGGGGATTAACTTCTGACTGCCAAATGCCTATGCGTCGATATATATTGATACATGTATATATATAGCCATAGAGTATATATCGATAGATTTTTCACTTATAATATATCTTCGAGTAAAAAATAATTTTTTAATGCCATCTTTACAGGAGAGATTAATAAATAATCTAAAGATAATTTTGATTGTTTATGGCACACAGATTTATTTTTTGAAAATTGTAAAACAAAAATTCTAGAATTTAAACAAATACCTGAAGGAATTATAAAATTTAGATATGTTGAATCAAACATGCAAATTATGTTCATGTCACCTTATTTGAGAAACTTTAAAAATATTATAAAAATGTGCAAAACATAAGTTAAACACAAGTTAAATACGAAACTCATTAGGAAACTCATTTAGAGTGAAAAGGTTTGTTCTGAAAATATTGAATTGTTTTAACAATGGTGATTTTAGATCCACCGTCGGTTTCTTTACGAAAGTAAGACCAGGCGGTCGGAATCGATTTCAAAATCCTTTGCGGCATCCTTTGTGAGCACCGTTTCTCAAAGTCATTCCAGTGGCGCCTATAGATTCGTAGTTTTTGGCTTCTGAGCCATCCACCTCTTTCCAATCTAATCAGTAGGCTTGTTGGTCGGCTCGCAAGTCCCGCGCTAAAAAGCGAACGAAATTAAAATCGCATGCCATGGATGATTCCGCGGAATCACTTTGACACGCTTCGTCCCGGGTAAACGAGTGTAACATCGGCGGGGAAAGTTCTATACAATTCTCGTTTCTTGATAAACTGCAGGCGGCAAATAATACATCAGAACTAGTTTTAATATTATTTGGTAAATATACTATGTAAATATTTTATGTAATCGCATAAAATTTTTTCCTATTTCACTCGTGATAATAATTTAAGAACTTATTAAATTTTTTCTATTTTTTTATATTAATAAAGATAACGCAACCTATTTTTAAAAAATAGCCTGAAAAATTGATTTTAACTTTTTAAAAATTGAATTTTTTTTCTCCTTATATTTTTATGTTCTTGCAAGTACCAATAAAAATTCCGAATAAACTAAAATTCTGGTCAGTTGACTAAAATACCGATTTTCCACGTATATCCGTGCCCGATATACAAAATCCACCGCACCAGCTATATTGATCTCATTACGCACTTAATTATCATTACTCTCTTGTTCCTCTGGTCGCGATGAACGTAGGGTGATTAGCAGGGAACACCCTACAAGTCATGACTGCGCGACTTCTGCTGGCGGCCGTTTAGTTTAGACAAGCGGCCGATCGCGCACAAAGAAGGCGAATCGTTAATGAGGATCCTCGTAGATCGTGATGTATGATGTACGAAAAGGTAGAGGCTGGACGAAGCGAGCGCCAGACTCTAGACTGTGTCATTAGACTGTCAATTACCGGTGGAGCGAATGGCGTAATGACAGGCAGCGAGCGCTGCCAAGCGTTGCGCCGTGCCGCTCCGATCGTGAAAGGCCGCCTTGCATTTCGGCGGCCGTTCAATTTTTTTCTTGCGCGTAATTGCGTACCGCCAGCGTAAGTCCACGATTTTCAAAGACGTTGCTCGTTTCCCATATCACATCGGCGGCTCCACGCACATCGCAATTGTACACGGCGTAATCGTTACGGCTATTTATTTCTACAGTCGGCAGTTTGCTCGCTCATTACGCCGGATCGGCGTAATGGACAACGGTGATTAAGGATCGCTTTTGATACAAAACTTGCGTAGCGCGCGCGAATTACTGTTATATCGCGATGTATCTCGTTTGCGTTTCGCACGCCGTCATGCCGATCAGAGAAATAAACTCGGGTTTTGTCTGTTAGTTCATGCGTGTCGAATTGAAAACGTGAACGTTTCCGGCACGAGCGAGCTGCTGATGATCGATCGAATTTTGAATACTTTTACAAAATAGTCCAGGCAAGAAAAACAGAAGCGCTTTCCGGGTGATTTTCTCACTTTACAATGAATTGCAGCTTGGAAAGAGATTTCCGCGATAGATTTTTGATCGACGTACTTAGAAGGAATAACGATACTCTCGTGATGTAATAAGTATACCTATGTCAACGGAATCAAACCTGGTATGTCCGTGGAACCTATATTAATCGCTACACGTTTCATCAAATACCGTCAAAGTGCGAAGTACCGTATATCGCGCGCGGCATAAATTACAGATCAGCATGACGTGCGCTTTAATAATCTTTGTACATGTCTCGCGCAATACTTGCAGCCGTTGAAGTTCCTCCCTCTCCCCCTTCCCCCCAATCTCCCCGTTCACCGACGTAGCTATGGAGTATCGCTAATTAATTTTCGCCATGTTGACACTCAGCCGCGCTTAATTAGGATGAAAATGAGAAAACCGACCAAAGTTGCACCCGAAAGGGGGCACGTGTGCGCGCCGCGGCACGTATCGTCGCGCGAGGACGCGCGCGGAGAACTGCGAAGAGGTGGAGACCGCCGCCGCCGCAGCAAAAAGCCGGGAAAATTAGTGACGCTCCTGACTGACGGGCGGCTTCTTAAGTGCCCGCTTAAAGTTTTGTTGCTCGGTGCACGCCCCGATGAGGTGTGACTCGGCGCTTCTTCGCGGAGGCGCCGGCCACACCTCGGGCGCCACGGCGACGCGGACTTCTGCTCCCTTTTTCTCCCGTCCCGAGCTTGAACGCCCGCCGAAAACCAGATCTTCGATGCAAGGTTTCACAAAAGTCGCGCAACCACGCTCTAATACTTAAAACCGCAATTTCAATCAATCCCGCGCGCGAAAATACGCTGACAACGCTGCTTCGCGTGTTCAGTTCGAGAGATCCTTAAATGGATCTCAAAGGACCTTGATTGTGGACTTGAAAGAAGCATCGATCTCTTTATATAGCGGAGGGCTTTGAATTATCTATGTGTTAATCAAATGTAAAGTGAAGAAAGTTATCCTTTGCAAAGTTCGAATAAATATTATAGGTACAATACTTACAATTACTTACAATAACTTAATTTGACATAATGAATTTAACAGTGAAAGAAAAAAAGAGGTCACAGATTTTTAATCTATTTATAGCTTTATGGAAACTTACTTGAAATTTATTATTTATTTACTTGAGAATTTATTTCTGATAAATTTGTCATCATATATCATTGGTACAAAATAGCATCAAAGATGATAATTTCATGGAGAATGTTAGTTTGTTTTGAATTGACTTTGCACGGATCTTTGAGCATCCTTGTTGGATTTTGGAAAAATAAATTGCGACGGAAGATAAATAAATGCGGTCTATCAACGACGGATAATGCGCAGTCGTCATAATTAACAATTATAGTAATCTCCTCAGAAATACATGGATTTATCTAATAACCGTTCTTCCCTGTGTTTTTTTCCTATTACATTCCTTACAAACGTCTTATTTAATCGCCATCAATTGTACGTTAATTATGCTCAACGATGTATTATCCGAACAACTGCTCGACTCACGCGCGATGTTTTCCTTTTTCCTCATAAATATTAGATAGGTCTTCAAGAAACGAGATTTATCAAACCGAGTAAGAATCGATCTCCTTGAAGAAAACTTAGGTCGAGGACTACGCACGATGAATAATTCGAAAACGTTACGTTACTTCCACTTCCCTTAATAGACGTCTCATTCATCGAGTGATCAACCAACACGCACGCACGCAAATTACGTTCAACAATGAGTCATCTGAACGATTGCACGACATACGCGCGGGCGCATACATATACATACACACATGTGCACGTTAGTCACGATTGACCGCAATGCTTTTCCGCACGAAACTTTCCGTGAAATCGACGCTGAGAAATTAAACGCGCGGAGATTGCGGTTCACCTGTAAAGCGCTTTTCCAGCGATAAACGATACGCTCCTCGCTTTTCCGCGGCACGCTGCGTACACTTCGCGCACACACGGCTCCGCTTGGTCGTTTAGTTGTTTAGAAGTCATTAGGACTCGTTACGTTATTCGCGGCAAATCGTCTCTACTTATCGACTAATTACGTGCCTGACCATAAGCGAGCCATGCAAGTAGCGTGCAATACGTATGTATGCTAACGTTGACGAACGCCTCTCTCGATCTTTAATATCGATGCACCGAGCTCAGCTCGGAAAGTG